ATACCTCATCTTAAAGCTGTGTATGGTTCCTGCCTTCACTACCTCACTTGCTAGGGTGTTCCACTTCCTGACTACTCTATGACTGAAGAAATACTTCCTAACATCCCTTTGACTCATCTGGGTCTTCAACTTTCAATTGTGACCCCTTGTTTCTGTGTCCCATCTCTGGAACATCCTGTCTCTGTCTACTTTGTCTATTCCACGCAGTATTTTTATGTCCTTATCATGTCTCCCCTAATCATCCTGTCCTCGAGTGTCGTCAGGCCGATTTTCCCTATTTCTTTCTTCATAGGCCATTCCCCTTAGCTCTGGAACTAACCTTGTCGCAAACCTTTGCACTTTCTCTAATTTCTTGACGTGGTTGATCAAGTGTGGGTTCCAAACAGGTGCTGCATACTCCAGTATGGGCCTGACGTACACGGTGTACAGTCTTGAACGATTCCTTACTAAGGTATCGGAACGCTGTTCTCAGGTTTGCCAGGCGCCCATATGCTGCAGCAGTTATTTGGCTGATGTGTGCTTCCGGAGACATGCTCGGTGTTATACTCTCCCCAAGTTCTTTCTCCTTGAGCAAGGTTTGCAGTCTTTGGCCACCTAGCCTATACTCTGTCTGTGGTCTTCTTTGCCCTTCCCCGATCTTCATGACTGCATTTGACGGGGTTCAATTCGAGGAGCCAGTTGCCAGCCAGTGCGTGCGTATACTCGCCTAATTGTGGTTGCAGGGGTCGATTCATAGTTCCTGGTCCCACCATTTTACTGTTCGCTACTACACGTGTGCGTGCGTGCGTGTGTGTGTCTGCGTTTTATATCACGTCTCTATCTTCAACAATTTCTGTCTTATCTTCTCAGACTCAGGTTGTTTATTTCTATTTATATTAGGTTTGATTTAATATTACATTTTTTTGTTAATTATCGTTAGATTTAGGTTATTTTTTTATTTTAAATATGTATACTACCTGTTTTAATTTAACAAATACTGTAGTTCCCAGCCAGCCTTGTATGATACCTCTCTCTATATATAATTTCCAACAAGTCGGCCGTCTCCCACCGAGGCAGGGTGACCCAAAAAGAAAGGAAATCCCCAAAAAGAAAATACTTTCATCATTCAACATTTTCACCTCACTCACACATAATCACTGTTTTCGCAGAGGTGCTCAGAATACAACAGTTTAGAAGTATATACGTATAAAGATACATAATATATCACTCCAAACTGCTAATATCCCGAACCCCTCCTTTAGAGTGCAAACTTTGTACTTCCCATTTCCAGGACTCAAGTCCAGCTATATAAAATAACCGGTTTCCCTGAATTCCTTCACTAAATATTACCCTGCTCACACTCCAACAGCTCGTCAGGTCCCAAATACCATTCGTCTCCATTCACTCCTATCTAACATGTTAAACGGGTGATGTTACAATATGCTGAAAAACCACTGTGAAAAAATAATGAATTCCTGATGTGATTGCAACACGAAAAGCCTAGAGCTATCTTTCAACTTCCCCCCTCAAGGGAGATTCCTTCACGCTGGAAAGGGGCTCTTGATCTATGGAATTGGATCTGTGCTTCATTTCCCTGAATTGAGCCTGAATACCTTCCTTTCCCCCCCCCACTACATGCGCTATATAATCCTGTGGGTTTAGCGCTCTCCCATGATTATAATAAACTCCCCCTGTGGTTGTGCGTCTTGCATCACTTGTTCGCTATTTTTTGCATATACTATATCCCCTCAAGGAAGGTTCCTTAACGCTGGGGAGGGGCTCTTGATCTAGGGGATTGGATCTGTGCTCCAGTTCTCTTGAATTAAACCTGAATACCTTCCACATCCCCCACAGGTGCTGTATAATCCTACGAGTTTAACGCTTCCCCTTGATGATAATAATTTGTGTGTATATATATATATAAAATATATATATATATATATATTATATATATATATATATATATATATATATATATATGTCGTGCCGAATATGTAAAACTGGTCAATTAGCAAGAACTCATTTAAAATTAAGTCCTTTATAAAATTTTCTCTTATACGTTTAAAGATATATTTTTTTCATTAATGTTGATGTAAAAATTTATAATTTTGCACCAAAAGGAACTTAGAAAACTTACCTAACCTTATTATAACAAGTGCAATTTATTTTAGCCTAACCCAACTAAATATATTTTAGATTTGTTTACAGTAATTTAATACTAAACAAACACAGTAAAATATATTTTTTTCGTTAGGTTCAGAATGATTTTGGAGAAATTATTGCATACACAAATTTTCACTTGTCCTATATGGCAAGATGAGCGTTGTTATTTAAGCCAAGATCGCAAGTTCTGCCTATTCGGCACGACATATATATATATTATATATATATATATATATATATATATATATATTATATATATATATAATATATATATATATATATATAATATATTTTATATAGTGTTTATACTGCGCTTGTGTTCATTATAATTTTTGAAGAAACTGTATTTACCAATCTTTCCTTATTGTTTCCCTTCATTTTTTGTTTCATTCCCCTTTATTTACACAGCTTTTCCTTCACTTTCCCTTCCTGTCACACCGACTTCTTCACTCACTCTTATGTGTTCTTTCTCTTATCAGTTTTTTTTTTCTTTTCTCGCCTCCATCCCTTCTCTCACACTACCTCTTCTTCCGCCCTATCTTTCCTCCTCCTCCTCTGCCTTTTCCTACACACCCTCCTTTCCATACCTAATTTTTCTTCCTGAATCCGCTCACTCTTTCTCTCATTTTCCCCTACACACCCTTTCCCTCGCTCTCTCCTCTTGCTATCCTCCCTTTCTCACTCCCTCTTCCGTTGTTTCTCATTCTCCTCGCTCTCCCTCCGCACTCTCCTCATCCCTCAATTATTTCACATCTATCCTTCCTTATTCCCTACTTCCCCAATCCTCTTCACCTCTCCATTCTTTACCTCCTTAAATATTCACCTCCGTTGTTTCCTGCTCGCCCGCCCTCTACCACTCCCTTGGTTGCTTGGTTAATGGGGTTTAAAGCCTATCGACTACTCTAGGGTCATAAAGGTTGCCCGACAGTCTTACCACCAGACAAGAATACTTTAAATCCCTAAAACAAGGATTAAAGTAAACTCAGTATATATACGCTGAGAAATATACACCTAGGTGTGTATCCGGTCCCGCTCTCCTATACTCTTTCTCTTAAATATTCTCATTGATTTATCTAAGTGGTTTTCGGATTAATACATCATCTCTCTCAATATATTTCTGAGCTCCTTGTATATACCATTTTCTACCATATTTGATATTCTTTCAATTATAAATAATTTTATTAAGAAATCTGTATCATTTTTGTCTGCGTGTTTACATTAACGTTACTATTACAAGTGATGTACTGATTCTTTTTTTGTGGTTGATGCTTTAATATTAGTGGAGGTAATAACAGTGTGTGATTAAGTTGTCAGGATTTGTTGTATTCTGCAGTCAACACTTGACACTTGGTCATAGCTGCAACTTGAATAACTAAGTGATACGATTGTGTCCATTGTTCTCTGCAGTCTACATTGTTGACTGCAGTCTACATTGTTGACTGCAGTCTACATTGTTGACTGCAGTCTACATTGTTGACTGCAGTCTACATTGTTGACTGCAGTCTACATTGTTGACTGCTGTCTACTTTCTTCACAACCTTGTATATTATTTGACTTACAAAAATTGTTATTTCTTCTTTAACACATTGTTTTGTTTACAAGTGTTAAGTTACATACAACATAAGAGGAGATAACACTAGCGACGAGACCCATTATTGGAACTCAAGATAGTTGCTTCAGTAAACAAGTGTTATAACTCTCAATTAACTCAAAGTCTGAAGAAACTTTAGAGGACGTTTCGCTCAATCAGTCTCGGACAGTTATCGAATTCATGACTCAGCGAGACATCGTCTGAATTTTCCACTCGGACTTAAGGGATAATAATGAATTGTTCCAGTCACAGTATTGTGACTTGCATAGTTTATAATAGTTTATCATTAACGGTAATTAAATTGATTGCCTAACGGTAATTAATTTATTCCTTATTATTATTTTTATAATTTATGATATTTTATTAACAGTAATTAAATTTTATTCTATATAATAGTTTATTAACAGTAATTAAAATTTAGTTATATTAATTTATTACAGTAATGCAGTTTCAGAATTTATAATAGTTTACCATTACAGTAATTCAATTTTATAATTTACAGTAGTTTATCATTATCTTTCAGTAATTCAGTTCAATGTTGTCATTAAAAATCTTATTTAATATGTTTTACATAGGTTTTTGTCCATTATAATTTATATGATATTAGTATACATTCGTCTCTTTTTTTATTATGGTTTAGAAAGGATTCTGCCAACGTCATTCTCAGTTCCAAGAAGGTTTTTTAAGGCATTTGTTGTGAGTATATGACACGAATTTGAGTTTGTTGAGAGGGGCTATGGTTGACAGGCAGCCGTGCATCCCCATGTATACTTAGTGTGGTTGTGTGTGAACCCTCATGATCAACCATGGTTCAGATGATCTAATATGGCGTCATATGATATACCATGGCCCCTATGATCCACCATGGTCCTCCATATGACCTACCATGGCCCCATGTGACCAACTATGGCAGTACGAGCTTTACATATACCCCCAACCCCTGACCTCTGTCTCTAGTGAATATGTTTGATGCCGTATCATGCCTTGAACCCCCCAGCATACTAACCCAGCATAACATGTGCATTCCTGGCCCCAGCATACTGCCCAGCATAACAGTCGCACTCCCTCCCTCTCCCCGGCTGCTACGACCATGAGGTGGGAGTGTGGCCCTCCTCCACTCTATTCAGTCCCACCCAACATTGGAGTACAGCCGGGTCGTGTTGCATGGTTCCTTCCCTGACAGTGGCCCGACTTCAAATCTCTCCCAGAGGATGTTACCAACACTTCCTTTGCAATGGTTCTAATTCATCTTCCTTTGCATCCGCAGTGCGTGACCCATGCCGAGGGAGGAAGTGCCAGCATGGGTCGGTGTGCGTGCCCAGCGATGACCGCGCCAATGCCAGGTGTGAGTGCCCCGTGGAATGCCGGGTGTATGGAGGCGGCCTTGGGGCGGTGCCAGTGTGTGGCTCTGACGGCCAGGACTACGAGAATGAGTGCCAACTGAAGCGGCACTCGTGCACTAACCAGCGACACCTAGATGTCAAGTACACTGGCAAATGTGGTGAGTGCCGACTCTTTCTTGGTCCTACCTCCACCTTTTCAGTAATTCCCATTTACTCATCCGGTCTCATTCCTGTTTTTTTTTTTCAAGTCATAGAGATACTACATTTACACCATACACACACATACAGGAAGTCCTCACTTAACGTCGTTTCGTTCAGCATCGTTTCGTTATAACGTTGATGAGAAAAAGAAATCAATTTCCGGCTAGAAATGGAAAATATGGAAAGATTTTTTAATATCTGGATGGAGGACATGCATCAGTGTAACTCTGCATGTTCGCTAATGTCAGTTTCCTCCCTTATGGCTCTTTGTATTCGTTTTTTATATGTAGCGTTTTAACTTGTATAATTCTGAAAAAAAAAACATATGATACATAAAATGCTAAAAAAAAAATGTCAGTATTAGAGTAAATTTACGACTTTATAGGACCTCAAAGAGACGAGCTCCATAGTGATGGCGTCTGCAGCATTGCTGCTTTCCCTCTCACCTCTCACTTGCTGTAGAAACTAAACTCTTTACTTTTGTCAGTTAGCCTATGGTAAAATGGTTTCGTTATGCGTCGTTTCGCTTAAAGTCGCAGTTTCCAAGAACCTATCGATGACGTAAAGTGAGGACTTCCTGTATGTATGTATGTTATATATATATATATATATATATATATATATATATATATATATATATATATATATATATATATATATATATATATATTATTAGAGGTAGTAGGTACTACCGTCCTGCCAAGTGAGTGTAAAACGAAAGCCTTTCATTGTTTTACATGATGGTAGGATTGCTGGTGTCCATTTTTCTGTCTCATAAACATGCAAGATTTCAGGTACGTCTTGCTACATCTGCTTACACTTAGGTCACACTGCACAAACATGTACAAGCATATATATACACACCCCTCTGGGTTTTCTTTCTAGTTCTTGTCCTTGTTTATTTCCTCTTACCTCCATGGGGAAGTGGAACAGAATTCTTCCTCCGTAAGCCATACGTGTTGTAAGAGGCGACTAAAATGCCAGGAGCAAGGGGCTAGTAACCCCTTCTGTATATATTACTAAATGTAAAAGGAGAAACTTTCGTTTTTCCTTTTGGGCCACCCCGCCTCGGTGGGATACGGCCGGTGTGTTGAAAGATATATATAATGTATACACACACAACACGCCACAGGGACAGGTCTTTCACACAGTCACCAGTGCTTCTTCTTTTTGATTCGCCGGTATTCTCCCGGCCCGGGCCTTTTCCAAGTTGTGGCCCGGCCTTGGCTCCCTGTCTAGGGAGTGTCTGAGACCTAAGTCTCCCATGGGAGGAGGCACAAGTACCCCCTCATCTTTGGGACCAACTGTCCCCAGGCCTAGCCACATTCCCCGCCCTCACGGGGCTCGTAGGGAGAAGCTAGGCCTCTCTGGTCTGCCATCCCCTCCCCAAGAGGGTTAATGGGAATGACAGTCTTGTTAGCTGAAAGCTCTGGCTCAGGCACCTACCCTACCCTAAAAGAGTTAGGCATGGTGTCGATCACCAGTGCTTCGTCAGTATCTTTGTAATACAAGAAAATGTACAAGTGAAATGGAAATTATCATAGCAAGTCTGTGGTGCAGCAGCAGGAGCAGCAGCCATACTCAGCACCAGAAATATTCCAGGTAGAGTGTCTGGGAATGGGCACTCAGGACAGTTGTCGAGAAAGCTAGGATATATATAGGGAAATTAGCTAAGCTCATAAGCCATACCTTAATGAGCAACATTGAATCTAATTGCAAAAATATTGTGACAAAATTTCACTCCTACCAGTGAGGCAAAATATTAATATAACGGCAAAGAAATACTGTTACCATGTAGCAGCAAGCTATTATGTTCCTAGAAAGTTGCTCGCGCTAATATGAGCATCTAAAATGGCATTTAAACCTAAAAAACAATGTGTTTTTATAGAGATTCCACCAAGAATGTATGTCGCTGTTTAAGCCAATTTAATGATATACGTACTAATTTCTGCAAAGAGTAACGGGATGAGGCAAACAAAATTAAGCAAGCTAGAACCTAGTCTTCTAGAATGTGATAAAAATTAGGTAATAATATAAATGTCATCACTACGGAATCAAAGGAAACGGAGATCATTCTGCTTCCACGGAGTATGGATTCTTTTTTTAATGGGTGACTGCGTAGTACAAAAGACAATTATAAACCCGTCTGACAAACTTCCATAATAATGACCTTTTTTTTATAGGCCTAGTTGACATCAATGACGTACTACTATATAGAAAACTTGATCGCTAGCACACTCGGCTAACTAAGGTCCGGGGTTCGAATCTCCGGTACGGCTGGAAAACATTAAGGACGTGTTTCCACAAGACGTCTGCTGTCCCTGTTCACCCATCAGTATAAAATGGGTACCTGGATGTTAGTCGACTGGTGTGGGTCGCATCCTGGGACAAAACTGACCTAATTTGCGGGAATGCTCAGCGTAACAAGCGGCTTCCTGTATAGTATTATGTCATTGATGTCAGCTAGGATTCTATACCTTGTACATGTACTTGTTGAAATATAGATATTATTTCGGGCAAAATAGTTTTGTCTCAGGATGCGACCCACACCAGTCGACTAACACCCAGGTACCCATTTTACTGATGGGTGAACAGGGCCAGCAGGTGTTTTATGGAAACACGTTGTAATATTTCTCAGCCGTACCGCGGGATCGATCCTCGGACCTCAGTGTGTGAGCTGAGTGTGGTAACGATCGAGCTACGGCACACCTTTTCGAATACTGACTGCCTATAACTACCATAAAAAAATATAATACTTCATTATCGTGAGTAACCGATAAATAGCGATTGCTCAGATAGATATGTCAAAACATCCTAATCTGAGATTATGTACAGCTGCCTCAGCCAGATAAGGGTCAAATCCATATAATCTTTGGCTTGTAGTGTACAAAGAGTGATTATCATGTTTTATCAGTGCTGGCTATAATATTGGTCTTGATTATTGAGTTCTTAGGGACGACCTAAGCATGACGTTGAGAACTCTGATATGGTTAAATTTAGTGGTGGACTCTTACACTGTCCAGAGTACTTGTTTTATAGTAAATACGTAAGTCATTAGCTTTTTTAGGTACATGTAAACATAAATACAGTTACATAAATTATTATACATAGTAATATAAGTGTAAATTACCCAGGATAATCAAAAAAGTCAAAGTGACTTATATCCATTCTGGTATTTGTCCTTGCGATGTCCTAAGGTCTACTGATTTTCCTGATTGTGCAATATATAACTTACCACATCCTGTGTGCAGAGTATACTAAATTTGCCCTTGGCGGAAAGTAATATGCCCAAAAACAAGAGATGGCGATGGATAATTCGCTTTCCCAGGTTCAACAACCTGTATATGGAGTTTGAGACCTAACTATTAAAAGCTGTCTTGCCTAGCCCGGCCAAATGGTTTAGATATGTTGATGCTCTTTGACAGATCAGAATATGGACGATTTCTTATCTTGACTCAATAATCTAGTTTCTCAGTTAAGTTCACACTTGAACTTGATAATGATAACAAGCTCATTTTTTAGATGTTCTGATCAGAGCCAACTGAAGTTTTAAATGTACGGTATATAGAAAGGCCACTATTGTGTATATTTGTATGTTCATTATTATTATTCTAACCATGAAGTGAAGCTTAAAAGGAGTGTTATCGTATAATGTTTTTGAAATCCTCGTGTAGTGCCTAGTTTCTGAATGACAAAATAGTGATCTTTTATATCACTTATAGATTACGATACCAAGGAGACGCTGTTAGCGACCAAGAACACCTACTGTAGGACTGAACCTAAGGAGAGACCTCCACGAAGTAACTTTCTGATGCTACTCTAAATTCTAAATTGAGAGCCTAGCTACTCTACCCAAGGCTTTAAAAAGATTGATAAAACACATTAAGAACACACCTGCCAATGCGTTGGAGGTGTGTTCTTAATATATACAGGCTTCCATGTACAGGATTTGATAGGTTCTTTATTTAACAATCAGGATAATTCCTAGAACTAAAATTATCGCAAGACCAGTACTCTGGACAGAACGGGTGTCACACGCTATATTTATACATATCAAAGCTTGCAACCTTCCCACTAAATGATCTTGTAGCCAGGTTATCATTACTACAAGTCAGTTATAAAGCTAATACTAATAAAACATGATAATCATTCTTTGTACAATATTGGCCAGGAATTATATGAGCTTAACCCTTATCTGATTGAGGCAGTTGTACATAACGTCTAATAGAATGTCTTACAAATGCCCCTGACCGATCAATACGTATCGGCTCATCACGATAATGAAGTATTATGGTTTATGAATCTATCCAGTGTTCTCCTGGAGACAGTAAGTGGTCTCCTAGTACTCTGCATTATGTATGGTGGGAGGATGTTGAATAGTCGCGGGCCTGTTACACTTGTATTGTGTCTGTGTACTCAAGACACCCTTGCTCTTCATTGGGAATATTTGGTACCGTCTCTCGAGCATTGTGCTGTCGTAGGAAGAGATTCTTGCGCATATTTGGGACCAATCTCTCTAGGATTTTCTAGGTGTAAATTATGATTCACCTTTTTCGCCTTTGTTCCAAGGAGTACAAGTCAAGGGTATTCAAACGTTCCCAGTAATTAAGGTACTTGACTGAACTTATAGGTGCAGTGAAGATTCTCTGTGCATTCTCTACATTTGCAATTTCATCCCCCTTAAAAGGGGATGTTAATATACAGTGACTTGAATATTGAAGATGACCATCACTGGCTTGGCATCTCTTGTTTTGAAGGTTTTCAATATCCATTCTATTATATTCCTCGTGGCTGTGATGACACACACGCGCGCGCGCACACACACACACACACACACACACACACACACACACACACACACACACACACACACACACACACACACACACACACAATCTTCATTATATTTTAATCTTGGTCGAGGTTAGTAATTATGTTACCCTATCCAGCCTTGCCA